CTTATCATCCAAATGCAAACCACATTGTTGACGTTACTCTTATTGCTATATGCTGTCAAATGAATTTCATGGGCCAAAGTTAGGAACATAGAAAAGAAATGTGTCCCTAAAGTTGGGTCCATGATTTACTTGTGAAAACGTTGTTAAACAATTAAAATAAACATAAAATATTCAAACAGTAACTGTGAGTTTTACGTCTAGTGTGTATTATCAGGTAATTCCATTCAATAAATGCCATAATCAGGCCATTTGATGATCGTCAGTGCAACCTTCCCATCTTAACCTTAGAAGTCATGGCGGCTAAAAACTCCGAACAGAGTGATATTCTCAACCAGTTTTATTACTTACGAGAGCTGAAAATGTATTGAAATGTTGTGATATAAATTGATTTGTGTGTGGTACACATTTATCAATCATCAGTGATCAATATTTTCCTTATTTTTTGTGTAATATTCCTTAATTAATTATTTATTTGCGTGATAGGCCGAATGAAAGGACTAGACCCACATTACATACCGTAACCCTATCACACGAAATTGCGAGTAGTTGAGTGGAATGGAGATAAGTTAAGCATTGGGTACAGGACCAAGTCTCCCCTGGGTGGTGCCAGAAGATGAGCGCAATAGAATCATCAAGTTGCCATAAGGCACGGAATGAGACTATTGCATGGCTGGGTAGTCAAAGTCTTCCATTCGTTAGTCATTTCAGGTGGATTAGAACAGGTTTAGGTTTAGGGTGGGCGTTGGCCAGATTTGGTTTCCTAAATAGGACCTAGATTATTTAATACACTAGTAACCTCAACTTCTGTCACAATGTTTCATTGTGACTAATCAACACTCAATGGGTAAAATATCAAATTTGCGGTAAATTTGAAAAAAGGGAACTTGGAGTGTAGAGTGCACTGTCCACTGGACGATTCTGAAGCCTGACCAAGTGAGTGGGTTACGGGTTTATTTGATTGTACGTCATTTCCAAGTTATATATAGATACATTCATACCATTGGCATTTTGTATTTGAGATAAGACAGAGACAGGATGCGGAGGGCCCGCTTAGGGGGAGCGTAACCCATGTTATGGCTTCCATTTATTAAATAGTTCAGATAGGCTGGAAATGATAGGTTCATGATGAGAAAATGTACCATATGGTGCCCGTTCACTGATCAAAATTAGATTCAAATCGTCAGGCCCTGCCCTGGAATAAGGGAATTGACGATGATTTGTCAAGTTTCATTTTGCATTTGCATATAATTGTAAGTTTAGGTTTGCTTTTGTAATTGTAAGATAGATAGTTTGCCTCAATTGAAACATTGAGTTAAACATGACGAATCATACCTCTAAAATAGTAGTAGTTACAGTGCCGCATTATCTAACTTTTGTTTTGTTTGTTTACATATAACTAATACTAATACCTCCTTGTTTTCTCTCTAATTTGTCTACTATGTCCCACCATGAGAGATGAGCTACCGTACATGGTACACGCTCATATACAATAAATAGTATGCCGCAAGTAAGTATATCACAGAGGCAACTAAAGATCCAGAAACAAAAACCGAAAACGCTGAACGGCAGATTGGTTTACAGTGGTCGACCAGGGTGTGTGCTGATAAATTACAAAATTACAATTACATCATTATTCCATACATCAGCTTGAATTACGTTGATCGATATTACATTTTTTTTTGCTCTTGCACTACACCACCGGAGCCAGCAAAGTTCAACAATCCATCGTTGCTTATGCCTTTGTTGTCGTTTGGAACCAGTTTTGCGAGGTAGGTGACGATTGTGCGTATTTCTCGCGTAAATTTTGAAAAGGGCCTAGCCTGAACAATACGTAAAGAGCAAATTGAAACATTGTACGTCGCGTGAAAGTGGAACTTAATGAAGGCCTAAGTACTTTTTCGTAGTTTTTAGTTTTCGGATTTGAAAGATCGTCGGTTACAGTGGCCTGCTTACTGAGCAGAAAAACGCGGTCCCAGGTCCTTACATATCAAAGAGATTTATAGTAAAATCGCTTGTGTATCGTGTATTTTGCGAAACTCGTTGTTGTCGTTGGTTCCGGGTTTGAATGGATACAAAAATTAGAGCAACGGTATTATGTGATATGAGGGGCTCGGTGGCCTTAGAGCAACCGTTTTTGCTTACTGAGCAGAACATCATGAGTCTAATCTCAGGCCCATCCACAATCAAGATTCGTCAATCGTTTTATTTGTTAATATGACTACATGGTAATAACAGCAACTCGGTGATTAAAAAGGTGCTCGTCTGCCTAGTGGCAAACGTTTTTGCTTACTGAGCAGAAGACCGTGGGTTTAGTCCCAAGCTCCTTCGCGTTATATGATCGTTAGGACATTAATTCCGCTTATCGTTTACCAAAACGAACCCTGCTGCAAACCCAACCCTCTTATCCAACATCCCAGTGATTCCTCGTGGAAGTGCAGAGGTGTTCTCGGCTTCCATCAAAGCGAGTGTCATGTCAACACAATCCTTCCCATTCCTTTCTTGACCTGTGTTCGGGCGCGGCCGGCGCTGGTATTGCCTAATTTAAGATCACCAGTTTTTACACATTGAGGATGATTGCTAGTCCCAAGCATCGTCTATTGGTTCTCTGTGTAATTACAGCTGATCTGGCAATAACAGAGTAGCAACCGTGGGCGGTCAATCAAGCTCAAGCAAGCTCAAGCTCAAGCTCTTTTCACACTACTAAAAAGTAATGTAAATTTCGGTTCCCTGAGACCGACACATGTAAGCGGGCCTTTTCACATAACAATCAGTTGAAAGAAACGTGAAAATCAATTCAATCAAACGTTCTCTTCGTCGACTAGCTGATGTTTCGGTTTGAGAACACTTAATTTTACATGAAATGTTTGTTTACGTTCTATGATTTACGTCCAATATGGATTACGTCTCGTGTAAAAGTAGTTATTTCTAAGTGTGTTTTGATATGATCAACTCACTTAGAAATAACTAATTTTACAAGTGACGGAATCCATTTTTGACATAAAAGATGAGACGTAAACAAACATGTCATGTAATATTAAGTGCTTCGAGACTGAAAAGTTCGTTGCTCGCTGAAAAGTACGTTTGATTGAGCTTTGTTTCGCGTCTGTTATGACTCAAATTTAAGTCAAAATTTACGCTCGTATATGTCACTCTCAAAGCATCTAAATTTACATGAATTTTTCTAAGTGTGTATGCTTCAATCATATCGAAAATATTATTAATTTTTTTTTGGCTGCAAAAATAAACAAATGCAGTAAAAGCAGCGTAATGTCAGTTTATGCACAGTATTGATGATAAGTTTGTCTTTTTTTGGCAACACCATATTTTTTTTCGTGCAGTCACTGTCTGCAAACTGAAATATATTTCAAGTTTCATGGAATTCTACGACAGCAAAATGTCAGATGGTGTCAAATGTTCACCCATGAATTTAAAACACATGTAACAACCAGTTGGATTGAAATAAATATGCATTTCAATCAGTGAATGTCATTCACTAGGTTAAATTAATTATCAATCAGATACCGAACGTTGAATCTACTTCAATTCCATTTTGAATGTTCACAGCAAAAAAATAATTTTGATATCACGTCAAAGTGGATGCACTACAATCATGTCGAAAATATGGTGTATTATTACTTGCTAAAAAGGACAAAATTATCATTAATACAATGCATGAACTTTAGCTGCGCCGGTGGTGTAGTGGTAAGCGTGATTGCCTCTCACCCCAGCAGGCCTGGGTTCAATCCCAGTCGGCGCCGCCGGGATGTTCTGAGGCATAACATCTCTGATCACGCCTTCCTTCGGAAGGGAAGTAAAGCCGTTGGTCCCCGGTTCATGAGTTGATGGGTCGATAGGTAGGGTCCAGGTGTGGGAGCTGCCTTCCTTGCGTCGGTAGCATTGGTGCTCAGCACGGAAAACAAGATCGACGGAAAACAAATCCAAGGAAAATAAAAAATGCATGAACTGACATTACGCTGCTTTTACTACATTTGTTTATTTATGTGGTCATAAAAATTATATGAAATTTTCGACATGATTGTAGTGCATCCACTTTGATGTGTTATCAAAATTATTTTTTTGCTGTGTTGTCTGATGTCAATAATTTTGAATTAAGGCATTTGAAATTATTTTCAAATAGAGCACCAATAATAATTTCGTAGTCCTACGTAGATAATGCCGTCATGACCCATATAAATAAGCCTAACTTTCAAACAGAACATCTTTCAACTAAACGGGCTCATTTGATGAGTTACTACTGCCTCTTGAAATGCACACAAAAGACAACGGCAATGTTTCCAAAGCAAACAACTTCATTCCCTGCCTGTCACGAGTAAACCATCGCTGACAGTTCAACCTTTTCCAAACCCGCATTCCATTACCATAAATTAGACCCGTTGACAGGGCCCAGCAAACAGTGCCATTTGCCATATCGCTGTCAGTCAATTATATGGTCAACTGCAATTGCTGCAACCCGTCCGAAGCCATCCGTTTGGGCAACTTAACTTGAGGAACAGGAGGAACGTGACCGAATTTCCTACCTACCCATCGCAATGGACCCTATCGCCGACGTGCTTCTTTGCAAATGTCATAATATTTGATTTAGCTTGTCCAGCTCATCATTCGCATTTTTGCATTCAACAACAACCAACCAACCAGCTGCGTGTCACTGTACAAAGTAGACGAAATGTAGGCCACTTTCCTACCCGGCAGGGGACAACCGCGGATAATTTGCCAGTTCCGCCGCCCGCCACACGATACGATATGCTAATGTCACACTGCCGCAACCGGTTAATTGCCTCGCCCGCTGCTGGGCATCCTCGCTAGAAGAGAGTGACAGCGGAAGCCCATCATCAATCCATTAGCGCTCGGATCTATTACCTCCTCCCTTCCCCTACCAGACTCGTGCTAATTAATTTCGACGGCTACCGTTACGCCCCACTGACTGGGATCGGTCGAACTTCCTTGATTTTTGTTTATACTTGGAGACGCAAAATACTTACGATTTTTAACTGTGTACGCTTCAGCGACGCCGTTCATTGCCTGTCGACTGCTGACGCCAACGCTGTTCAACGTGGTCGTACTGCCGGCACGTGATCGCCATGCACCTTCGGCCGTGCCGTTGGATTTGCCTCCGATCGTTCCGTAGACGCTGTTGGAGCTACCGCTACCGGATCCTTCCAGCTGCCGGGCGTAGGAATTGTCCGCGTAGGCGTGGAAACAGCAGCGAACCAACGCATTGGCCGCCGCTTCCCGCTTGCAGATGAATGTGTGACATTCGAGCACTTTGATGCCCGTCGTCCGTCGAAGAATCGCCGCAAAGATCGGCGGATGCTGGGCACGTGGAGTTCGCGCAAATGGTGAATCGAGTGGGAGAAATTTCGGTTCCGGATTGTTGTTACCCCGTTCCGGAATCAAAACCTGCCGCACAGCGGCGCAGTAGTGCAGGGAATCAATCGGGAAGAACCGGGTGACCTGCTTTCGATTTTCGTCAACATTCTCCAGCAGAATTCCGTTTGACCACACACTGAGCCAAGAGTCGATTCCTTTGGCACCGATTGCACCCTCCGAGGGGTACAGACTTCGGAGGGGTTCCTGAATACCCTGAAGCCCATCCTTACTCTGCCGGGGTACGGCACTTCCGAGATACAGTACACGACAGCGACAGATTGGCGTCGAATCGCCCATTTTTCGTTCTTTCATATGAGCGGTCAGGGTTCTTCTTCGTGGCGGAGGCACTACGCTCTTCTTCTACGGGGCAGCACAACAAAAACTCGTTTCTTTTTATGGGACAGTGCGTATTTGTCCGGGGCTACAGCGAAGGGGGAAGATAATATCCGAAAACAGAACACTCTCGTCTCAGGAACGTTCAGGAAAACGAAGAGAAAGAAATCACATCATCACGAATCCGTCCGGCTTGTAGGGTTCAGGTCGCACACTGGCAATCCATGCACTTTGAACGACACCAACACTGGCTCACATAACCCCTGTCGTGGATTTAAACACACTCACTCTTGGCCGAGGCAAGCCTCAGAGGCACCACATTCCGATCACGGTATCTTTCGCGCTCTTTCTCGCCTCCGGTTGATCCACCGAGAAACTTGCAAACAGACCCAAGCTCGAGCGAGAGCAAGACACTTTATCCAGGCAAAAAGTTAAGCAACTTAAATATGGCTGAACGACTTTTTCCCTCGGTCTCGGAATCTCTTTTCTCACACTTTTATGACTTTTTCGCCCTTTTGATCCACGACTGATCGATTCAGATGCTACATTCACATTCACACGCTTCTCACGGTTATCTCTGTTATCTTTTTTTTTTCACGGTGCACGATCACACAATAATTGCACTTGAATGCTTCCCTTTCACTTCAGCCAACAAAATCGGAACGGGTCAGATTCGACACTCGGATTTCTTTCTTCCTCACACCACCAACCGACCACACCAACCGATCGACCGATCGATGTCACCCGGGAATATTCTCGAGCTGGACCTACTCGTACCGAAGGCCTGCGCGACACGTCGACAGTTTCCTCTCACGCACCCAATCGTCTTCCGTCTTGGCTCCAGTTAACCCCTAAGATCCGGTTCTAACCTCGAAATCTATCACCATTTCAATGGACTCCACTCCGCTCCGTTTTTTTTTCTTCTTCTTCGTCACCTTCTCACTTCCTCGCCACTGCACTTCAAAAACGCAATCGCAGCAATACCCGAAACGCGAACGCGACTTCAAGGCGTCTAACCACGGTGCAAGTTCACTCTGGAATGACTGGCGGCTGCCGACGTGTATTTTTTCCTCAGCGCTGTCTCACACCACAAGCGAATTCCTTCCCACACACCAAGACGATTCTCACCTGAGAGTGGAGAGCGAAACCAAGACACCTGTGTGGATACGGTGTTCACCTTTTTTCTTCTTCTCCCGGTGGCATGTGATATGATCGTGTATGCATAATACCGGTGGATCAACTGTGGCATTTCTTGGAAAATGATCGACGACGACAGCAATCGCAGTTCTCTCAGTTTGTGTTGCTCTCGGTCTGTGGCTTTTGCCTATGTAGGTAAGATGATATTGGTCTGGACAGGTGAATGCCGCAGAGCGAGTGCGGTGACTGAAATGTGGTTGTGAGAGCTCGAGAGACTTGTGCCGCAACAAGCGATGAACCTCTTCTTGGAGGATCGAGTTAACGGGGTTTGTCTGTTTATAGGGAAAATATAAGCCGGATTGGATTGAAAGCTCGTTTTTATGCTTTTCAAGTCAGTAAGGGTAAAGCTTTTGAAGTAATAAAGCATTTAAAATTATGGCACAGTAACTACCTAGCCGTCGGGCGCATCAAGGTGCGGGGATTTTATCGGATCTCACTTATAAATAGAAGGGCAGTTTTTTTTTATCATGATTTGATAATTTTCTGAATTAACTTCGTAGATCGTCGTTAATAGTAAAATATCATTTATTTTGAACATGATACGTTTCTAGTGGCAACAGGTGATTTCTTCGAAGCAACTAGTAATAAAAGTAAATTACCTCAAATTTAATTTTTTTTTTAGATGTAAAATAATGTTTCCTACAAAGGACCTGAAAAAAAGTTTAAATCCTTAATGAAGTCAAGACACCAATATCAGTTGAAAAATAAGCTTTCAGGTATTTACTCTAACAGCATTAGAAATAATTATTATTACTATTATTATTATTACTATTAGTCCATCTGGCTTGGAACACACTTAGATAAATTAAAATAAATTTAAGTGCTCTGAGATTGACATATACGAGTGTCAATTTTGACATCAAGATGATTCATAACAGACGTGAAATATAGGTCAATCGAACGTACTTTTCGTCGAGCCCCAAATTTTTCAGTCTTGGAACCCCTAAATATTACATGACATGTTTGTTTACGTCTCATCTTATATGTCAAAGATGGATTCTGTCACGTGTAAAATTAGTTATTTCTTAGCGTGTATGCTTCCCGAGCTGGAATGAATATCTCGATAACTTAAATTTGTATGGATGAGCCCATTAATCCGGTTAACATTTTCGAAGATGGACAACAACGCGATTATCCGTTTCAAAAGTAATCAAACCATCTATGCACAAGAAGTCCTAAGAGAACTTCATCCCATTTCCAAGGTATACTGGCTGTACATCATGCTGCTGTACTGACTTTGATTTGCCGCTGACATACGATTTCAAAATCGAGGAGGAACCAAGATATTTCATTCTTCGTCGTATTCGCGTCAAGAAATTGCAAGTTGTTGGACCTGATACTTATCTACCTTCACTCGGATCCAGCAGTCGGCTACAGCCGATTATCTTTTATCCCAAGCCGGAGGATCACTACAATTGGACACTTCAAACTGGTTCTACATAAAACGGGACTAGTTTATGTTGATCCCCATCAAGTGAACCTTTGATTGGAACTACAATGCAACAATAGCACGGATGCTTCCTGTGGATTCATTTGGACTAACTTAGTGAGGTCGTATCTGATTTTATCTATTTAAACTAAATTTACATGATTCTCATAAATTGGACAAATTCTTAACGGAGTTTTCTCCACGCATCTCATTTTTTGTGTCTTTGAAATCATCATTGAACGCCAAATTGATTGTCTGCACATTTTTGAGCATGTGATGGAACATTACTGTAACATTTACAGTGTTAATCATATATTTTAAAACATTGTACTATAAACTGGGTCGGGGAGGAAGGAAATTAAAGAATTTGTTGACTGGATGAGGGTTCGTGTCTTTGCCAGTCCCTTGTCACGTGATTAAAGATGGCCATCTGCACGGTTCGAAAAAAAGTAGTGTAAATTTCTATTCAATATGATACACATAAATGGAGCGTCACATATCATATAAGTTTACATTATATGTCATGTAATGTTCTGGGACATTTCATGAAATGTTTCAAATATTGTGTTGATGTTTACATCACAATTAAAATTCTGAATTTTTATCTGTGTGGTCGTTTTGTCCATTGGTCTTCAATGAAGCTGATTCACCCTGCTGTAACAAACCATCAGGCAGAACTTTACAACCGGTAAAGTATCTGGAGACATTGGTAATCCTTGCACTGATGGTGGGTTCCATTCACATCACATCACATCACACCTTAAATTAGTATGGATGAGCCTGACATACATCGTTCGAAAAATTCATGTAAATTTCTGCAAGATGTAGCGCACATAAAATTAACGCTAGTTTTGGCATAAATTTACGTGATATTTCGTGTAAATTTAAGCGCAATATCGCAAAAATTAGCAATATTGTATGCAAGATTTTTTTAACCTCTTATAAAGGGCGAACACGAAATTATTGCGACACCGAAAATGTCATGCCAATTTTCTTCTAATGTTTAGAATCAAACCAAAATTTTAGGGTAGTTTTATACATATATTTACTTCAAAAATCAAAAGAAAAGTTAATCGATGGAGCCTTGAATGTAAAATTGAACGCATTTTCGCTTGATGCCCTCCATCAAAGTCTTTACAGTGTCATCCGGTACCAGTTTCTCAGTTTTTTTCATTTTCTTAACATGTCCTTCTCATCTTTGACTGTCTTCTTGCTCTTCCGAAGTTCCCGCTTCATTATTGCCCAGTACTGCTCCACCGGGCGCAGCTCCGGACAGTTTGGCGGATTCATGTCCTTTGGAACAAAATGGACAGAATTGGCCTCATACCACTCCAGGACACTTTTAGAATAGTGGCATGATGCCAAATCTGGCCAAAATAGCGGAGCTTCGTCGTGCTGCTGCAAAAACGGCAAAAGGCGCTTCTCGAGGCACTCGATCATCCGCTTCACCTTTCCCTCCGTCTTTTTGTTCTCCGGTCCCGGTTTTCTTCCAGCTCCTTTGTCGTGGTCCAACGTCAACCGCTCCTGAAACCGCTTCAACACTCTGGAGACGGTTGAATGGTGAATGTTCAACATTTTTCCCAACTGCCGGTGCGACAGTTCAGGAAATTCCAGGTGTTTGGAAAGAATTTGTTCTCTCAACTCGCGTTGGTTCACCTCCATTTTCGTTGAATCGAAAAACACGACTTCGAGTTTGACAGCATGTACACAATACACATCAATGAGAAAGTGTGCAAAATTTGGTTGATTTTTACCCAATGGTAAAAAAGTTATGCCCTGTTGAATGTGTCGCAATAATTTCGTGTTCGCCCTTTAAGAGGTAAAATACGAAAAACTAAAACCGAAAAAATGTTCCCACCATACCATTCCAATACCAAATTATGATAATGCAACACATAAACAATACAACACAGATACTTTTTGGTATACAAATATCAATTTTTGATATTTACAAAGTATTTGGCATGTAATTTTACCTCTTATGTCATGCTGGTCAAAACAAAATGTTGATATCAGGTGTGAATACCCAAGTAACACTTGCAACATCTTGCATGAAAAATAAAAAAAATTCAGTTGTAAATAAGTTATAAATTAATTGCTTTTAAAACATCCTGTTTAAGACGCATTGTATTGTTGTTTGTGAAGTATTCAACCTTTCTGACAAGCACTTGTTATCTTGAAGTTATAATTCAATATTGCATGTCTCAATTACCAGTTTATAACTCATTTATAACTGATTGTATTTGGTGAAAACTGGCTAGCCTTATGTACAACATGTTTTCATATGTCATTATTAGAAACAGAAATACATCTGAGATATAACTTATTTATAACATGTTATTAATAAGTTGTATTTCAGTTGTACTCATGTTTCCAAAAATGACATATAAAAACATGTTGTATATAAGGTTTGCAAGTTTTCATCAAAAACAATCAGTTATAAAAGTGTTATAAATAAACAATTGAGAGATGCCATGCATAATTATAACTTCAATATACGATACATGTAATGTTCTTGTTTTCGTGTTATAAACATGTTTTGGATAACAATTATGAAATTTCTCAATGCATTCTACAAACTGCACTAAAATATGGCTGACCAATGAAGCAATGTATAGAATGAAAAAACATTTAATTTGTGCTTTCAACATCACATGTACCGTTCCGATTCAAATTTCGGACGATTCAAATTTCGGACACTTTCATTTTTAATTAAATATTACATCCAGTTAGAAACAAAGTAATAATGTTAGATGATCGTGGAGGGCACTAGTCAAAAAAATTTAAAATTTACAAGACATGTGGATCATATTCGACCGAGATAATCAACTTTTAAAAGTGTCCGAAATTCGAGTTTAAGTGTCCGAAATTTGAATCGGCACGGTACGTTTTGTAAAAGAGAAAAGTAAGATAATTGAAAAAGAAAGTTGATATTCTATTTGTTTTTGTTTTTTGCAAAGTTGGGGAATTTTATCCAGGATTTTTTATTTTATTATTTATTATTATATTGAGCTTTTTCTAAGAGCCAATGAGTTTTTTAGAAGTAGAATGTAAAGATTTACATAGAGATGAACTAGCCTAAGGCTAAAAATATCTTAAATAAAGAATTAAAAAAAAAAAAGTAAAGATTTACCATAAATTTGCAACCGCATAAATGTTTGCAGTACAGAATATCAGTTTAGGAACTTTATACGCACGATAAAATTCCTCAGAGCAATAAGTTGTGTAAATTGATGATAAACAAATTCCATTTGTAGGAAGGATGAAATTAATTTACAATATGTCCAATACAGTAGGTTGCGTTATAGTCATAAATAAGTTGCGCAAGTCAAGCATATGTTATATACAGATCCCACCTCTTGCGCTTTTTTCGTTATAAATAAGTTGTATATAAGTGACTA